AAAAAAAAAAAAAAGACTAAAAAGATGAAGAAAATAAAAAGCAAAAAAAGATGAAAAGAGAGGACAAAGGAATTATCCAAAAAAAGTAAGACAGAATCTCACAACACTTAAAAGACACAAGTCTCCAGAGGACCCTGTAAATGCCCCTTTGTGTGAATGAAATAAAGAGCAATGTAATGGCAAACATCAAATCAAAATCAGAACCCAGAGGACATACAGAAGGTCCTAAGGATGGCTGCCAAGAAAAAGAGAGGTCCCCTCTTAAAAATGACAACAAACTCCCACCAGCACCTTTGGTGCAAGATGATCATTTGAATTTAGAATTCTCTTCCCAGCTAAACTAGCCATCAAGTATGAGAGAATAAAGAATAAAGAAATTTACAGGCAAAGACTCAGAAAAAGTGATAGCCTCTGGATCCCTTTTGCTAAGTAGTTGTAAAATGAGGGAGTAGGCAAGAAAGAAGACATGGAATTTAGGAAAGAGTGGAAGCAACCAGGGAAAGCTGAAGATCAGTTCTAGGAAACAGCTGGGTAGGTGGCCTGGAGTAGTTTCTGGAAATGCTAGAAAAATGAAGGAAGTGCTAGAAAGAAAACGAAATGACAGTGAACTATTTGGTACTATAGTAAATATTTACAAAGAAAACATATAAACTCTTTTTTATTCGTTTTCAAGTTTTTCAACAATCACCAAAATTTTAGCTATAAGAGAATACAAAAGTGATCAATCTTGACAAACTGGGAGGTGGAGGAGATAGAGGAGCATGGGGAAAATAGGAATGCAGATGTCAACACACAGAGCAAGGCGTTTATAGAGATCATCTGTAGTTGCTGGAACAAGAAGAAGGTGAACTTTGAAGTTACAGATGTAATCACTGGAAGAACTACATATAGTGCCAGAAATTTTAAGTTAAATCACACAAAACTTGTTTTTTAGGTCAAAATTGGTTGAACATCAAAAATTTCATACAGTTCAATCTAACATATGAGCAGAAATATATATCAGCAAATTAAACTACAAAAATTTTTAAATCAATTTTTATTTTATTTATTTTGTAACTTAGATGGGATCCCACTTTGTCACCCAAGTTGGAGTGCAGTGGCATGATCACAGCTCACTGCAACCTCAACATCCCAGGCTCAAGCAATCCTCCCGCCTCAGCCTCCCAAGTAGCTGGGACTACAACGAGACTATCACCACACCCAACTACAGTAATTTTGCGTTTTTGGTAGAGATGGGGTCTCGCTATATTGCCCAGGCTGGTCTCAAATTCCTGGGCTCAAACAATCCACCGGCCTTGGCCTCCCAAAGTTCTGGGATTACAGGTGTGAGCCACTGTGCCTGGCCTGGAATGGCATTTTAGACATCCTTATGGAATAGGAAGCTTCAGCAAAGCTCAGGTTATGTTCTTACGAAAAGCATTACATTTTTTCTGTGTTTTATATAGCAGGTCCCTTTACTTTTTAGACAGTAGCAAATCTAGCTTCTTTGTACAACTTAAACTTATCTAAAGATTTCATCTTTTAGGCTGGGCACACTGGCTCACGCCTGTAATCTCAGCACTTTGGGAGGCCAAAGTGGGTGGATCACCTGAGGTCAGGAGTTCGAGACCAGCCTGGCTAAAATGCTGAAACCCAGTCTCTACTAGAAATACAAAAATTAGCTGGGCATGGTGGTGGGTGCCTGTAATCCCAGCTACTAAGAGGCCAAGGCAGGAGAATTGCTTGAATCAGGGAGGTGGAGGATGCAGTGAGCCAAGAGCA